TGAAGTGGTGATTAGTCAAATGCCCCAACACATTTTTGCCTTTCATTGCATTGTTGCCAACAGAGTGGGAAAAACCATAGAAACTTTCTGTTAATATCCAAACCAGCTATCATGGTGCCCCATTCCTACCTCTTTCTTTCCCAGATTCCTTCCCCACCCCAAAATGATTCCTGTCAGCTTTATTGATGAGAGTCACTTAAATGGTGGACATTGAGGAATCCATTCTTTTTGCCTATTTTAGGTCTTTACGTTCATGTTTATATTAACCTTTTCCGCATGTAGCTTAAGACTTCCTATGGCTATTCCTCCTGGAATCACTTTGAATCTTAGGCAGTTGAACACAGCTTTTTAAAATTCATTCCCCCCCATTTATCCTTTTTTTTTCCAAAATATTTATAATGTACTTGATTGATGATAAATATATGTAAAAGCTATTTATTTCAGTTAAATTTCCTTTTTCTCTCCAGCTCCTTCCATCCCCATTAAAGAGCTTGCATAACATATGAAATAACTTTTAAGATAATTTTAATTTGTGATACCTCCAGTGTTCAAGAACCTCGGGATTTATTTACAGTCAATAACTTAAAATAAAATTTATTATATTTAATAATTTGAAACCAAGCTATAGACATAAGACTTTCATACATAACATGTACACTAGCCTATACATGCACCCACCCACACCCAAGTGAAGTGATAATTGGTCAGAAAGAAGGAAGGAAAACCTTAAAAAATATTTTGCCTTTGGAATAAAGAAGTGATGAATCTGAGGAATTTGGAGGAAATTAGGAAGCCTTGTATGAACTAATACAAGGTGAAAGGAGGAGATAATTTAAAAATTAGTGGATTACTCAAAATCCATAATTTTAAAAAAAAGCATAGACATCATATTTCAAGAAATGATAAAGGAAAACAGCCTTGATATCTTGCATCCATAGGGCATGTGGAAATTGAAAAAATCCACTATCGCCTTCTGAAAGAAATCCCAAAATCAAAATTCTTAAGAATATTATTGCCAAAATCCAGAGTTCCCTGGACAAGGAAAAAATGCTGCTAGCAGTCAGAAAGACATAATTCAAATACCATGGAGCCACAGTCAGGATCACACAAGATTTAGGAGCTACCACTTTAAAGAAGTGGAAGGCTTAGAATAATGTATTCAGGAAGGCAAAGGAACTAGGATTATAATCAAGAATATCCTATCCAGCAAAATTGAGTATAATTCTGCAGAGGGAAAAATGGATATTTAATGGTATAGATGCCTTTAAGTATTCCTGATGAAAAGACAGAGCTGAATAGAAAATTTGACATTCAAACACAAGACTCAAGAGAAGCAAAAAAAAAAAAGAAAGGTAAATATGAATAAGAAATAGTAAGGGACTTAAGAAGGTTAAACTGTTTACATTTCATGTGGGAAGATGATTCATGTAACCTCTAAGAACTTTATCATCACTAGAACACTAGAAAGAATCCTTTTAGAGGGCATGAGTGTGAGTCTGTATTGGGATAGAATGGAAGGGTGAGATAAAGGGATATACTGGGGAAAGGGGATGAGAGAGGAATAATGGAGAAACTATCTCACATATATGAGGCATGCAAGGAAGAGTTTATACAATGGAGGGGAAACGGGGGACAAAGCTTTAACCATACTCTCATCTGTACTGGTTAAAGGATGGTAAAATATACATACAAACACAGTTGGGTACAAAAATTCATCTTACTGAAGGAGGTTGGTAGTTAGAAGCAAAACACTCTGAGGAAGGGACAGCATAAAGAAGAGAAGGATAAATGTAAGAGATTAGGATGAGAGGAAATTCACAGTTAGCAGTCATAACAGAGGTTTTTTTTGTTTGTTTTAGTTTAGTGGGGTTTTGTTTTGTTTTGTTGTTGTTGTTGTTGTTGTTGTTGTTGTTGTTGTTGTTTTGGTGAGGCAATTGGGGTTAAATGACTTGGCCAGAGTCACCCAGCTGGTGAGTGTTATGTGTCTGAGGCCAGATTTGAACTAATGTCCTCCTGACTCCAGGGCTGGTGCTCTGTCTACTATGCCACCGAGCTGCCCCAGCAGTCGTAACTGTGAATGTGAATGGAATAAATTCACTCATAAAACGGAAGAGGTTAACATAATAGATTAGAAACTAGAATTCAACAATGTGTTGTTTACAAGAAACACTTGAAACAGAAAGATGTATTCTTAATATAAGGAGCAGAATCTATTATGCTTCAGCTGAAGGAAAAAAAAGGTAGGGGTAGCAATCATGATTTCAGACAAAGTAAAAGCAAAAATAGACCAAATTAAAAGAGGTAATCAGGGAAACTACATTTTGCTAAAAGTTACCAATGAATTAATATCAATATTGAACATATATACAACAAATGGTTTAGCATCCAAAATCTTGAAGGAAAAGTTAAATGAGTTACAAGAGGAAATAAAAACTATACTAGTAGTGGACCTCAATGTGCCCATCAGACCTAGATTAATCTAACCATAAAATAAACAACAAAGAAGTTAAGGAGATAAATAGAATTTTTTAAAAGGTTGGCTATGATAGTCTTCTGAAGAATACTGAATGGGAATAAAAAGGAATATACATTTTCTCAGTTGTGCATAAATACCTTCACAAGAAATGATTATGCATTAAGGCATAAAAACTTACAAATGAATTATATATTAATAAAGTTCATAATTTTAAACATACACACACACACCTCCTGGAAATCACTTTGGTAGAATTAGATTTAAGATACTATTTTACACTGAATATCAAAATAAGTTTAAATTAGATATGTAACTTAAACATAAAAAGTCATGTTATTAAAAAAAAATTAGATGAGAATGAGATCAGTTACTTTTTACACCTATGCCTAGGGAAGAGATTTCTTAATCAACTCAGACATAGATATGATTATAAAATACTGACAAGAGTAATAATAATAATATTTACATTGTGCTTTAAAGTTTGTAAAGTACTTTATAAAAATTATCTCATTTTATATGTATAAAAACCCTGGGAGGTAGATGTTATTATTTATCTCCCTTTTTCACATGAGGAAACTGCAGCAGACAGAGTTTAAGTGACTTTTCTGGAGTCATAAAGCTAGTTGTTATGTGTGTAAGGTCAGATTTGAACTTGGGTCTTTCTGACTCCAGGAAACATGATTACATTACTCTCTGTGCTCTATCCAGTATGTCACCTAGCTGCTTCATAAAATAGATAATTTTGATTACATGAAATGGAAATGCTTTTCTATAAACATTACTAGGGATATTCATGCTAGGGGGAGAACTTCTGCATCAAATATCTTTGATAACAGACATATAAATAACTGTTCAAGATACATAAATAACACAAATACATAATACGAAAAGGCATTCTTCAGTGAATATGGTCAAAGGATTTGAACAGAATAGTTTTCAAAAGAATTAATATTAACTGCAATATCTAAAAGTGTGAACACTAATAAGAGAAATGCAGATCAAAACAACTCTGAAGTTTCACCTCATACCCAGCAAACTGTCAAAGATGACAAAAAACTAGAATACTTAGTGTTCAAAGATTTGTGCAAAGATAGGCACACTGATACATTGTTGTGAGATTTGTAAATTGAACCAACCAATCTGGAAAACAGATTAGAATTAAGAGAGATTCTGCTACTAGACATATAACCCAAGGAAATCAAAGATGGAATAATAGGTCCCATACACATCACTGCAGCATTTTTTTTTTGTAGTATCAAATAACTAAGGGAAAAATAGAGCCTATTTGTTGGGGGGATAGCTAAACATATTGTAGTACACAAATGTAATGGAATATTATTGTATCCTAATCAGTATCAAGTATATAAGAATTTGGAGTACTATAGGAAGGCTTATGTAAATGGAGGTGAAGTGAACCAAAGCATATCTAGGACCACAGTGTACACAGTATCTACAACAATATAAATGGAAAGAATAAATAATTGAATTTTTAAAGTGATTTTAAATAACCATGCTTAGCCCCTAAGAAGACTTGAGAAAATGAAATTCTCTCCCTCCATTACAAAAGTGAAGAGGTAATTAGTGTGCAATATTGTATATAGTGTTGGACATGGTTGATATGTTGGCTAGTTTTGTTGAGCTGCTTTTTTAATCTTTAATCTTTGTTACAAGGGATGGGTTGCTGGGTTTGTGTTCAGAAGTAATATGTTTGGAAATAAATGTCTTGGGAAAACGAAAGCTATACTTAAGCCTACTCATTCTAATTGACATTTAGAGGGCTGCCATGCAAACCTACCTGCTCTTCTCCATGATAAACTTGCATGTGATTAAAAACTGTTTTAATGTCTTTCCTTAATCCTTACATTTTAAGTATAAGCAGATCTTTGTAGAGATGGTTTCCTAGCCCTTTGCTGTCCAATTTCTCTCTCCTAGGTACACCAAACGTTTCTTCTCCTAGCATATGGTTTCAAAAAATGCAATTTCATGGAAGTATTATTTCCTGTAGTCTTACCACTGTATTTCTAAGATTCTTCTCACTCTTAATTCGTTTTATGATTCTAGTCAACTAAGATACCCCCAGTCTTCTTTCCAATGCCACCCCTAACTCCTGATCTTTTACACATAAAATGTTATAAATCCAGTTATCTCACAGAATTGCAGTGGTTAATTATTCACTTAATTATTTTTTGTCTTTAAATCCCAGAGTCAGTCCTTTTGGCCTTTGGAAAGATTGGGCATGTTGCACTCTGATTGGGGTGTGTGTGTGTGTGTGTGTGTGTGTGTGTGTGTGTCTGTGTCTGTGTCTGTGTCTGTGTCTGTGTCTGTGTCTGTGGGTGTGTAATTAGAACACATTCCTCCCAGAAAGCAGGAGTTGTTTTATTTTTTCTATTAGTATTCCTGGTGCTTAGCTTAGTATTTGGCACACAGAAAGTGTTTAGTAAATGCTTTTTAATTTATTCATTCATTTGAACTTTCCCAGTATTTTACTTGTGTAATCTTCTGTCTGCTATCACTTCACCCACAGATTAAAGGTTGAGGAGCTGGTGATGGAACGAAGTCAGTTAGAAGAGGAGAAGAAAAATCTTGAGATGCAGCTTGAGAAATTGACTCTCCAGGTGAGAGGCCTCACAGTCCTAATCAGGCTTGAAATTTGACCTTGCTGTGTTAGCGCTCTTCCATACTCATTGCTCCTTTCTGTTTCTTCCCATGTTTAAACATCCATGGTTCTGAGACCTATTTCATAGGCTACATCTAGGCTTATTTTCCATCCCAGGAACCATCCCACTGAGGCCTTTCTTCAAATACCTCTTGTCTTCTGAACTCCTATTATAGTTTGGTGTGTCATGCGACCAGGGGTTTAAATTATGTATGAGGGGTAATTTGCCAGTACTTCTTCTGAGTGAGAGCCAGGCAGGAAAATGTTTCTCCATTTCTAAAACAAACTTGCAATGCAGATGCAACAATTTTCTCTCCCTTCATTTAATGGATTTTTCTTTCTCATCTCCCTCCTGCTAATAGCCAAAGAGGATGCTCTGTGGCTAGTGACACTGTATGCCTGGAAGCTCCTTTTACAACTGAAAAACTCTGGGTAGAAATTAATTAGGTGATGTTTTCTATGTTAGGTTTGTTTTTAATCAAACATTCCTTCTGTTGGCACTGTTCAAAATGGAGAACTCGGACTCACTAGCTATTTGCATTGTTTTCATTTTTCTTTCTTTTTCATTTTCCCTTTTGCGTGAATTACTTCATGGCAGAAAACCTGCAAGTTTGAAATTACCCAGATTTCAGACAGGCCATTGATTTTTATCTTGACACCTATTAGAGGCAAATCAAATCTCTTTTTTATTACCAATTCTTAGAGATGGGAAAAGTGACAACATTGATAAAGCAGGAGGCCGAGAGCTGCTGAACGTGTCAGTTGTGCCATGTTTAGCACAAGGGCCTGTCATCCAGCTCTCCTTTAATTGGGCTGTAGTCGTTAGAAGCTTGAGGCTTGGCGAGTAGATTTGCTGGCCTCTAGTACATGCCATTTCCAAATGGTAACTACGTAATACCCATCTGGGGGGACCATAGCCAAATCTCAACTGAAATGATTGTGTGAAAGCTTCTGAATCTTTCCTAGAGGGCTGCTAAAAGGAAGACCACATCCACATAGCATTCAGTTCTATTTGCCACTTTTCCAAGACCTTAATAGGCCCTATTAAATATATTCCCCATCTGCAAATACAAGATGGAAGACATGTCATGTTCCTGAGATTCTGTGCCAAGACTCTCTAAAAATTCTTCTCTTCTTGATTTAGTATTCATCTTGTAACTTCTATGAAGGGTAACATCATTTCTTTGGCATTGGGAATTCCTTTGTTATGGTCTGAATAGTCCCAATGTTGTAAAATGTTTAATCTTCCCTATAAACCAAGTGAATTGACATGAGAAACAGTATTCAAACTTCAGAATTTAGCATTCCTGCATAAGAGTAGAATGAATTCTTATGTTCAGTTATAAACTATTAAAACCTTAATATAGGGTCAAACTTCTAAATGTTACCATATTTAGTTCATTTAGAGAGATCTCTACTTAATATAACTTATGACGTGTTTCCAAATCAGTATTTAATTGCAGCTAAAAATGTGACCAGAAAAATCATAGTTTGAATAATTATCAAAGTGCACTGATGTTGCGAGTGACAAGGACAGAGTCCTTGATGATAGTAATCAACCTTTGGACACCCACAGTATGCAGCATCCTAGACTTGGGGATTTAGTATGATAGGGTGGTAAGAAAACTGAATTGGAATCAGAGGATCTGAATTCGAATACTTCCTCTACTGCTTATTATTTGTGTGGCCTTGAACAAATCACCTCCCTTCTCTAGGCCTTAATTTCCTCATTTGTCTAATGAAGGAGTTGGACTAGATTCCTTTCCATTTCTCAGTCCTGTGATTTGGTGACCTGGGCCTTATCCAGAGTATATAAAATATAGACATTATTGATTCATGGTGCTTATACTCTAATGTGGGAAGCACCATCAAATGCATTGAAGCCACATCCCTAGATAAGTAGATTTTTGCTCCCAAATAATCCTAGAGTACTTTGCCTGGTTATAACCTTTGCCCCCATCAAGCCCTACAATGTATTATACTCTTTTGTGTTTGTGTCGTACATGCCAATCCTCATTTCTGTCCTCAGTAGAATAGCAGCTACTTGAGGGGAGAGACATTTTGTTTTTGTCTTTGTATTTCCAGTGCTGTGACCATAGTAGGTATTTAATGAATGTTTGTTGAGTTGTAGTCAGGTCCACTGCATGCATTAAACTGTGTTTATATAAAAAGTATAAATCAGCACAGCTATAGAGATCATGTATTAGAGACATAGCATAGAATTTGTGAAGCAGGCTTTACTTGAGGTGAAATAATACCCAAGTGCAGGACTTTATGCTACCAGTGACTGCCTGTTGAGACCTCTGACAAATCATTTAATCTACATAAACTTTAGTTTCTTTATCTGTAAAATGGGCATGATAAGACTTGAATTTTCTTCCTTAAAAGGTTATTAGGGTCAGTAAAATAAGATGTATTATCTGTTTTGTGAATAACCAAGTACTATATAAATGTTCATTATTATTATCGTCATCATCTATAAATAAATGTCAGTACCTGTGTTATGGACTTGTTCTGGGGATCAAACAAAATCATGGTTATGAAAGCACCTTATAAATGTGAAGTGTTACATAAAAACAAGCTTCTTTTATAAACAGTTTTATTTTAATGTCAATAATATTTATTAGAGAGAAAACATGGTGAAGTAGTCAGAAAGACCTGGGTTTGAGTCCTACCTCTGTACACACTGGCCTTGTTTCCCTAACCCCCTTAGAATACAAATTGTCGATGATTTGTTGATCCACTTCAGTTGAGGAGGTTTAATTAAATAGAAGTCCAAACTTGGAAAAAAAAATTTAATTTGTTAAACATGTTTATAATGTTAAACATGTACCTGTTTATAGAACTGTGTTAGACACAAAGGAAATCTGGATTTGGAGCTAGAGAACCTGAATTCTGTTCCTGCTGCTCTCTGAGGCTCTCTGAGTATCAGCTCCCATCGGTTAATTGAAGAGGATGTACATCATCCCCATAAGCAATCATAGAGCAGGGATTGGCAACCTTATTTTTCTCTGCTGTTATGATCAGGACTAAATTGTACCTTTGGACACTATTGAAAGTCCTGTGGCACAGAAAAAGAAAAAATAAAAAAGGAAACAAAAAAAGCATGCATATAAGCAGGAAACCCAGGAAGAAAAAAGGGGAAGAGTGTTTATAGAATGCCTCCAGCCAGAGTGCCCTCCCATATAAATTTGTTTTATAAACTGTACATTTTTATTTTTTTTTAACAAGGGAGAGTTTTATTTTGGGGGGGAGTAGTATGTGGGGAAAGTGAGTTTGTAGTGATAGTGATGCAAAAAAAAAGAAAGAAAGAAAAAGAAAAGAACATCAAAGAAACATTAAAAAATACACAGAAGAGAGCAGAAGGAAATTCCAAAAGAGTCAGAGAAGTGGGACTATATTCGTACTGTCATGTGAAATTTAATATACATGTTAAAAAAGCTATAATACAGATTCATGTTTTCATAAGCAGTTTTTTCCAGTTCTTTTTTGTATGCCAAAATATTCATGTTTATTAAGTTCAAAAGAAAAAATGTTTCAAATATCAAATAATTAGGCATTCTCAAAAAAGAGAGACACTGTGGTGAGCTTCATCATGATAAGAGCTAACTCCTATGTAGCTATGATTTGGATTAGATGACCTCCTTTGTCTTTTCTGTTCATGTCATTCCATAACCCAGTGCTGCCATCTACATTGTTCTTATGGGAAAAGAGAGAGGCTGTTCTAGCACCTGTATGTTCACTTGGCCATCATCAGAGTGATGTATAAAGGCATGGTGTCTTTTTTCTGTATGGAACATGAGGAATGAGGGCATACCTTAAAAGAGGTATTCCAGGAGTCCTTGTTTGCCTAGATATGATGCTGAGCTACTTGTGTCCCAGGCCTGCAGTGTATCATAGAGTGGTCTGTCATGAGTTCATAACATAGGATCATACCTCTTAAGATAATTATCCAGTCACCCCTTCCCTGGCATATGTGCTGGAGAAGCCTTAGGAACCTGTATTCAAGGGTATAGGTATTTCCACCTGTGTAATAAGTAATGAATAATATTCTCAAATTATCTTCCATTTTGAAAATTTGGAGTTCTTTCTAATCCAATCCCATGCTTGCACTTGCCATAGCACAGATGAGTTCTAGTGAAAAATTTTCACTTCTGCAGTTTCATATATCTTATCTATGTATGGTGCTTTCAGCATGGCAGGGTTTTCCATTAAGATCCCACAGAACTTTATTCATTTGAAACAAAAGCAAGGAAGAAACATCCTTTGAATGAACTTTTCTTATCATGGGACTCCATTTTAATGAAAAAATTATAAATAATTGAAATTTAAAATTAGCATCCTTGTAAAACAACTTGAGGTAACATATATTACCACTTTTAATTTTTAAAAAATTGTTGAGACTAGTTAGCTTACCATTTTAAAGCTGGTTAATAAAGGGACATCTCAACATGTCTTTTTCCCTCTGCTTCAATGGGGATAGAATCAGACCTGTAATTTCTTTGGAAGGTGGAAACTCCATGTGGAAACTCCATCTACCAGTGCAGATCGACAACTCATACCCAAATTAGAGATGCTAACCCAGGTGTTATGTGTTAGAGACAGGATTGGGGCATATGTTCTCCTGATTCCAAGGCTAGCCCTCTCTCTAATATGCAGTGCTGCTTTTCAATGATTTGGCATTATTTTTCTTTTTTAAAAATGTTTTATTAATTTATTTTGATTTATCAATAATCACTTCCATAAGCTTTTGAGTTTTAAGTTTTTCTTCCCCTCTCTCCCCACCCAAGACAGTGTACAATATGATACAGGCTGTACATATACACTATTAAACATTTTCAGGTTAGTCATGTTGTAAGGAAAAATTAGAACCAACAGGAGGAACCACAAAGAAGAGGAAACAAAACAAAACAGAAGAAAAAAAAATAGCAAGTAGTATGCTTCGATCTGCATTCAAAC